TTATCCGAGCAGTTTTGTCCGCTACACGTTCCAGTAAACCGCCCCCCCCCCCCACACACACACACACACATGCATACGGACACACATACAAACAGTAAAGCGAATTTCCGGTAAAACCTTCCCCTCGAAAAACAGGAGGAAAAAAACAAAAACAAAACAAAAGCGGAATGAAAAAAAAAATGCTGGCGGTTCGCCCGCCTCTCGCGAGAACATAGATATGAGCTACGCAAATCCCAAGAATATTGTGCCTTGGACGGCATATTCAGTTTCGAAGGGGACCTGCGAAGAAAGGTAAGCACGGGAAATAACATTGCGGGAAAGAAAACAACTGGCAGTGTCTACAGAGAGCCGCGCCTGCGAGGAATCGAATGGAATTTGGTCAAATCAGCGGCTCCTAAGCGGCGAGCCGCGCGAGGCGAGACGAGACGCGAGAGAGACGATAGGACGGCCGGAATCAGGGACTTTGTCGGGTCGGTCTGGCGCGAGCGCCGCGCGGGTAGGCAACACCAAGCCACGCGTGCGTGGGGGTGGTCGCACGGCCTACCCTCCAGGCGCTCCGTTGAGGCACGCCCAGCACGTCTGGTCTGGCACGCGTCACAATCGGCTGGATGGACTCCCCCGCCCAGCAGAGAGAGAGAGAGAGAGAGAGCGAGAGAGAGAGAGAGAGAGAGAGAGAGAGAGAGAGAGAGAGAGAAGGATGGAGAGAGAGAGAGAGAGAGACGCATCGTGCTTCGCAATTCGTGCTTGTCCCCGGAAAGCGGCCGTCCCCGTGTGTTTGTTCTCTGGGTACTGATGGCACGCATGCGCTTGTGTGTGTGTGTGTGTGTGTGTGTGTGTGTGTGTGCAGACGGCAACAGTACGAACGTCCGACAAAGTACCGCTGCAGGGGTGCGGGTTCTTTTTCCGGCGGCGCCGCGCTCCGTGTAGTACGAGCTTCCGCAAAGTGAAAGTCCTCAGCCGGGATTCGAACCCGAGCCGTTTGATCCCCCGGCCCCGCCTTCTTTCAATCACCGGTCGGTGCGGAACAAAGGGCGGCGTCTAGTGTACCCACCGTCTTGTTGCCGAGCCGGCGCACCCGGCAGTTGAGGAAGGCCGTCTTTCCCAGCAGCGCCGTCACGTTGTTCCTGCCCTCCATGTCGAAGAAGGGGCCCGGCGTCGGCGGCGCCCAGGGGTCCAGCAGCTGCTTGCCGGCCTTGTCCTCGTCGTCGCCGAGGCCCTGGCCCAGGCCCTGGCCCAGGTCGCCGTGGTGGTCGTGGAGGTCGTTGTGGCCGCCCAGGCCGTTGCCCGCCGCCGACGTGTCCAGGCCGTCCGAGTCCCGCTGCGCCGCCCGCACTGCAACAGGAAGACGGACAAGGTGAGCGGACAGACAGACAGACAGACAGACAGACAGACAGACTGACTGACAGACAGACAGACAGACAGACAGACGGCTGGCCGGACGCACAGAAGGGCCGAGGTCACTCAGATGCGGTTCATTTCATCTTAAGAGGCCGCAGTAAAAACAGAACGCCACAAATAAAGAGGGGAGCAAAAACGGCCGGTCGGGGCGAACAAAAGGCGGACGGACAGTCCTCACGGGGCGTCATCACGCGGCGGGACGGGGCGGGGCGGGGCGGGGCGGGGCGGGGCTGGGTGGATCCCCGCATAAAGGTGAGAATGGAGGCGAGCAGGGATATTGACGCGCTGAAGGAAACCAGAAGAATAAGGGCAGGAGGAAATGACGGGGGAGGTTTTTGCACGCGTACGTGCGCCAACTGCACGCGCCAAGCGGCGAAGCCCTGGAGACGCGGAGCGGCGGCGCACAGTGGGCCAGAAGACTGGTGGAGGCGGACAAAACTCTGGACGCGTTTTGAGCCCTAGAGTCGCTAAACATGCCTCGAACCGAACGTGTGACCACACCAATGGATTGCTCTCCGAACGAGGAATCCATTGGTGGGGTCACACGTTCGGTTCGAGTCCCATTTAGCGACTCTGGAGCTCAAAACGCGTCCAGAGTTTTGTCCGCCTCCACCGGTCTTCTGGCCCACTGTGCGGCGGCGCCCCGGAGAGCGAAGGAGGGCCGTAAAAAATAAAAAGGGCCAAGGGGACAAGGGCCACGCGGTCTCGCTGCGGTCGCTGCGGTCCCAGGGACTCCCTCCCCGCAGTCAGTCGTCAAACCAGACCCCAGGCCGGGACTAGGCCGAACCAGGGCGGGGCGGGGCGGTGCAGTCGAGTGCACCCTGCCCCCTGTCGAGCCAACCTGGAAAAACATGGTCATTGTCCCGAACCAGCGGCCCGACAAAAACGGCAATACATCGGCCACTGGCCCGTGCTGCCTTTGTCGAGGCCCGATAGCGTGAACTAGCCGCCCCGCCCCGCCCCGCCCCGCCCCGCCCCGCCCCGCCCCGGGGCTTGGGACGGATTGTGACGGGTCGGCGGGGTGGGGGTGGGGCGGGGTGTAGTCGGGGCAGACGCACCCTCCAAGGGGCCGTGCGCCGCGAATACCCAAATGACACTCCATTTTCACCCCTCGCTGCGAGCCAGAGTGGCTGGGTTGGCCACCCTAGTCCTGCGCAGTCGGCAAGGGGCTTTAGGGTTGCCTACCGCCGCTTACCGTGCAGGTTGCCAACCCCCGGCTCGTCACCGGCCGGGCCTGCCGGGGAGCGGGGCACTTCGTCAGGTTGAGAGTGTATGGGATGGCCGTTGGCTTGCGGAGCACGCCCCAGCCGGAGCGGAGTGAGCAGAGCGCTGTGCCTGGGGCTGCCTGGGGCTGCCCCGGGCCCCGGGGCGGGGAGGGAGCGCCCCCGGAAACCGCTACTCACCCCATCCCGCCCCACCCCGCCACGCCCACGCAGCGAGCAGGGTGAGGGCCCCAGACTGTCGATCAGCGGAAATGCACTTGATACAAGGAAATGCTCGGTTCCGCCCCAGATCGCCGATGCCGTGTGAAGGCTGAGCAAGACGTTGCCGACTAGCAGTGCAGGTCCCCACCGACGAACCCCCCGGGGGGTGAACTGGACCGAACCCACCGTGATCACGGTGTAGCGCCCCTTCTTGGTTTCCAATTAAAAAACCATCATTAGAACTCAACTTAAGGAGCGGGAAGAAGACCCCGCGCGCTGAGCTTCGACCTGCCTGGCTTATGGGTTGGCTGCTTTTGTCACGGTGACCTGCAGTCATTAGCTGGACCTTTCCAGTCCGGTGTGTCAAGGGCCCTCCAGCCCAGTGTGTCCACAGCTGTGTGTGCTGTGCGTTGCCTGGCGAGGCGTAGCGGGGCGTGGCGGAGCGTCGCCTTTGTCCAGCCCAGCCATTTGAACCACGTGACCTGTAAGGCCCCACAATGTCGCCGCAACCCAGCCACGCCCAACAAGAGCTGCATGCAGCAAGACAAGGTGGCCGAGAACCGACCAGAGACAGCCACCGAATTGTTCATCATCCTTAAGAATCGGTTCAAACATTCGAACGCACCAATGCGATGGATTGCCCTTCGAACGAGCAATCCAATAGTATCACTGTGTGTCAGAGTCGAGTTCTGCGAAGGACAGAAGAGCTCGGAATGATGATCCTCTCGGGGCCGATCCTCCATGTCCGTCGTGCCCGCCACTGCACTGGGCACGCTGGGCACCGCGTCCGATGAGGGTCCTCTCTGCACATTCCGCGCCACCCGCTGCGAGTCCGACCGCCCAGTCCCCGTGACCGTCTCCCTCGCACCCTGGCAGGGAGCCCAGAGAGCGAGAAAGAGACCGCCAACGGGTCGGTGACGGTCGGTGAGGATTCCGAACGCGTAATGGCTGGGGACCGAAGCGGCGCGCAGGTGGACCAACCGTCAGTGCAGGGCCGACAGGGCCGGATGACACAGTGGGCCGGAGGTGGCCAAAACTCCGGACGCGTTTTGAGCTCCAGAGTCGCTAAGCAGGCCTCGAATCGAACGTGTGACCCCACCAATGGATTCCTCGTTCGGAGAGCAATCCATTGGTGGGGTCACACGTTCGGTTCGGGTCCCATTTAGCGACTCTGGAGCTCAAAACGCGTCCGGAGTTTTGGCCGCCTCCACCTGTCTTATGGCCCACTGTGCGGGACGGGTTCCATGGGTGCCACCACACCGGCAGCGAAAGGGGTAGCGCTGCGGCGGATTCGAGTTTTCGTAATTAAAGTGAGGTGGCTCGGTTCGAGTAGCAGTCCTTCAACACGCTGACTGGACCCTTGCCGACCAACTCGGCAAAAATAATGAATGTATTCACCTCGGTGGCGGCAGGTTTAATTCTTTCATTGCCCTCCGGGAAAAACAATACAAAAGTAGCCAAATGAAGTACCGCGCGAGGGTCCAGTTCATCTTCCTCGCTTGTGGTTTCTTTCTCCCTGTTGTCGAGAAGACACTGAAGCCTCCTTTTCAGTCGAAGTCGAGGCGTGGCGAGGCGCGGCGAGGCCGGGCCGCGAGGCAACGTAATCTTGTTATTTACCGGCCCCGACTTTGCCTCGCCCGCTGCGCCTTTGTCGCGGCCGCATTGTCGGACTCTCAGTGGAGGGTTGCCTGCCGTTGCCTGCCGTTGCCTGCTGACATTGCCCCGCATTGCCTGCCATAGCTCAGCCTGCCTCGGCGTGGCGGCGTGTGGGTGTGACGCACCACCATTGTTCTGCCCGGGACGGGGGCGACCGGGATCAAAGTATTTCCTGGCAGACGCATCAGTCAGAGGCTCGCAACAAGCGGCCAGAAAACGCAGCCCGCAGACAAACTCACGAGCAGACAAACTCACGAGCAGACAAACTCACGAGCAGACAAACTCACGAGCAGACAAACTCACGAGCAGACAAACTCACGAGCAGACAAACTCACGAGCAGACAAACTCACGAGCAGACAAACTCACGAGCAGACAAACTCACGAGCAGACAAACTCACGAGCAGACAAACTCACGAGCAGACAAACTCACGAGCAGACAAACTCACGAGCAGACAAACTCACGAGCAGACAAACTCACGAGCAGACAAACTCACGAGCAGACAAACTCACGAGCAGACAAACTCACGAGCAGACAACGTCATGCGCAAACCCACCGCATGTTCACGCCGCTAAAAATAGCCTGCTTATGCGGACGTAACGCCACTGGACATAATGCCCGCAAACGGGACTTCGATGAGAGGGTACCATCGGATGCCTCGCTGGACGAGCAAACTTGCTGGTGGTACCATCATGAGCTCCATTCGAGAAGCCGAGTTCCATTCAAGCTCAAAACGGGTCCAGAGTCCTGTTCGTCCGCCGGCCTGCCCCGCCCCGGCGACCCCTTCCCTTCCCGCCAGACGCACCACCGCGCTGCGCCGCCGCGCTGCTCCCAGGCCGACCCGCCGACCCGCCTGCAAAATCACGGAACCCTCGGCATACACAGGAGAATGGGAAACATCCACAACGGATTTCCGCCTGGCCATTTGGGCTGATGTATTGGGGATCCTTCGCCGAGGGAAAGGGACGAGGCAGAGAGAGACAGAGAGAGAGAGAGAGAGAGAGAGAGAGAGAGAGAGAGAGAGAGAGAGAGAGAGAGAGAGAGAGAGAGAGAGAGAGAGAGAGAGAGAGAGAGAGAGGACAGACGGCTTCGCCTCCGACGCTGTTGCTCCCTTTCAACGTCGCGGGAAGACGCGTGAATACCCCGCGCCCCAGACGGATACCAGGAACTTCAAGCAGGAGGGCGCAAAAACGCGGGGTATCGCACAGTGGGCCAGCAGACCGGTGGAGGCGGCCAAAACTCTAGACGCGTTTTGAGCTCCAGAGTCGCTAAATGGGACTCGAACCGAATGTGTGACCTCACCAATGGATTCCTCGTTCGGAGAGCAATCTATTGGTGGGATCACACGTTTGGATCGAGTCCAGCGACTCTGGAGCTCAAAACGCGTCTAGAGTTTCGACCGCCTCCACCGGTCTTCTGGCCCACTGTGTATCGCTGGGCACCGCGAAAACAGGGCGGGGCGTGACTGGCGGGACGCGTTGCTCGTACTTCATTATCGCTCCGAGAGTTCCACTTTCGGTGAGCGATTTCGGCGAGCGAATTTTGGGCCGGCCACTCTCTCTGCTGATAGGCGCGCGTGGGCGGTCAAGCAGTTCGGCCGGCTGTGCAAACAGGGGCGGCAGCGGGCTGCACTCTCCCGTCTGTCTCTCTCGCACTCGCTGGGTGCCCCGTTGGCCCGTAGGGGTGCGAGAGAGACAGAGCGACCGTTCGGAGCGAGCCTGCAGGCAGGACCCGGCAGCAGCGGTCAGCAGCGCGCAGCGAGAGGTAGGGCAGTGAAAGGTCCGTCGTGACCCTTCGCGAACCCCCCCTCCCCCCCCCCCCCCCCTCTCTCTCTCTCTCTCTCTGTGTCTCTGTCTCTCGCTCTCTCTCTCTCTCTCTCTCTCTCTCTCTCTCTGGCGCACTGCCAAGCGAATGGTCGTATGAAGGGTCCGGGAGAGGGACCCAAATGCGGTGGAGCATCAGGCAGAAGCAAAAGCCACATTGGGTGCTCGAATGTTGCCGGCAGAGGCGTCCACACCCGCGGAGTGCGGAGCGCAGGCACACCGCGTCCACCCTCTCCTACCGAACCATTTCATTCGTTGCGAAGGTGACTCATTCCGTGAAGTTCCACGACCCGGTGAGAAAGAGGGGGCGGCGGCAACATGCCCGTCCGTGCTCGCGGCCTCGCGGCTCTCCCCTGCCCTCGTCTGCACGCGCCGCGCCTCGCCTTCCCGAACGCTGTCTACGATAACACGATCGCGTGGAATCTCACGCCAACGGCGTTTTTCACCATCACTCCACTTTGCTACGCTTTGCCCCGCCTTGCCACGCTTATGGCCGGCGGGGCCGCGGCACGAGATGGCCCGTTAGCGAGGGGAGGGGAGCGCAGAGTCGGCATGGCCGTAATACGACATTACCAGCCAAACTGAGTCTGATCATGCTCAAAACACTCCCTGATATTGCCGATGGCCGCCTGGCACAGTGGGCCAGAAGACCGGTGGAGGCGGCCAAAAGTTTAGACGCGTTTTGAGCTCCAGAGTCGCTAAACAGGACTCGAACCGATCGTGTGACCCCACCAGCGGATTGCTCTCCGAACGAGGAATCCATTGGTGGGGTCACGCGTTCGGCTCGAGTCCCATTTAGCGACTCTGGAGCTCAAAACGCGTCTAGTGTTTTGGCCGCCTCCACCGGTCTTCTGGCCCACTGTGTCCTGCCTGGCTCGATGGGCGATCAACCGGCGCGGTCTGGGTATCAGCCACCTCGCGCCCATTAGGACGCTCAATTTCGCGGCGAGCTTGCGCGCGTCAACACACTGTCAAAAAGGAACACCGCCGGGATGAAAAATGATGATTACAGACGCGGCGAACGATGTGTTGTTGACTTCGCTAAAATAAAGTACAAAGTTGAACTCTGTGCTCTGATTCTTTCAGAACTTTCCCACAACTTTACAACGTCAGTTTTCTTTTTAACTCGTCGCACGGAAACAGGCTGGTTGAAAAATAAAGTTTTCACGGTACTGTTCTCTCTGTTGCCCCTAGCCACCT